ACAAAGAACTGGTGGGATCACAAGCCGGAAAAAGTTACAGAGAATGAACACGTCAAGATACTCTGGGACTTCGGGATTCAGACAGAGTTTTGGAGTACAATACTCCTGACCTCACAATCATGTTAAAAAACAAAGTATGAATCGTCGATGTCGCAATCCCAGGTGACAGCAGGATTGCAGAGAAACAACTGGAAAAGCTGACACAGTATGAGGATTTAAAGATCGAACTGCAAAGACTCTGGCACAAGCTAATAAAGGTGGTCTCAGTGGGGATCGGCACATTGGGTGCAGTGCCTAAAGACCTTGGCCTGCACTTATACACCATCAGCGCTGACAAGATTACCATCTGCCAGCTGCAAAAGGCCACCTTACTGGGATCTGCACGCATTATTCGCTGATACATCACACAGTCCTAGACGCTTGGGAAGTGTCCGATGTTTGATCCAATACAACAGCCAGCAGAATGTCTGCTGTGGACTCATCTTGTTGTGTTTCTAATCATCATCATCATCATCATCATCATCATCTTTATTTATATCCCGCCACCATCTTCCCAATGGGGATTCAGGGCAGCTAACATAAGGCCAAGCCCAAAAATTACAATACATCACAGCAGAATACAGAATGCAAAAAACAAAACTTACATCAGAAAATAGATTACAGTAGCAGAACAAACAAAAAAGCAAATTAACACAATATAAAATTGAACAGGATGGGCAGGCCAAATGGATGAGATAAAAGGATAAAACCCTGGGTGAGGTAGGAGTAGAAAAAGCGTAAGTGAGGGGAATCCAAGAAGAATAAAAACAGTGGGGTAAGGTGTCACTGTGTAATTCATGTATGATGTGTGTTTAAATGTAATTTTATGTGATAGGATTGTGATTGCAATAGAATTGTATTGCCAGGATGTATTTTGACACAGAAGGGTTAAACAGCAAAGTATCAAGCTGTGAGAATGTGACCCTGAGTTCTTGCTCTGTGAAAGATTAGGGAGTGCCAGAGATAAACTTCCTTCCAGCTGCAGTTTGTATTAGTTCCTATCTCTTTCGGTTTGTGTTCTTCACGTCTGTCCGCTGATGGTGTATGTTGTCCATTTTGAGCTGCTTAAGTAAAGCTAAAAATCTGCTTTTACCGGAGACTCCAGAGTCCATTATTCTGAGCTTCTGCAATACTCTGCTAACACCAACACAAACTACAAGAAAGGAGATTCCATCTGAACATGAGGAAGAACTTCCTGACTATGAGAGCTGTTCAGCAGTGTAACTCTCTGCCCCGGAGTGTGATGGAGGCTCCTTCTTTGGAGGCTTTTAAACAGAGGCTGGATGGCCATTTGTCAGGGGTGTTTTGAGTGCAATATTCCTGCTTCTTGGTAGGGGGTTGGACTGGATGGCCCATGAGGTCTCTTCCAACTCTATGATTCTATAAAATGATAAAACCCTGGGTGAGGTAGGAGTAGAAAAAGTGTGAGGGGAACCCAAGAAGAATAAAAACAGTGGGGTAAGGCTTTCAGTTTAGGGCAGGGATAAGTATGTATGAATATTCCTAATAAATGGCCTTTTAAAATGCTTGCCTGGGCAATGCTGGGTACATGAGCTAGTTATTAATAAATTGTTGTCTTGAGTGAGTCACAGAGTCTCGGCCTTGAGTCACATTCTCGGCTTGAGATATTAAATAATTTCTGAAATTGTTCCCTTGAGCAATTCGTACTGTTTTGCTTTTGAGTCGTGCTCTTTGTGCCTCAGAGAAAGGCACAGACAGTCCTTCAAAATGATTTTTGTTATCACCTCCCCCTTTAAAATACAGTATAATACATTTGTTGTTTTCTTGATTGGTGAAGAAGTCATGGCCATGGCCTTTGGGGCCGTTTTTTTGGCGTCATGCCGGAGCTTTTCTGGAGAAGGCCATTTTGTCTGCTGTGTTTCGAATTGTCATTTTGCTCCTTAGTGGTGGAGAAGATGGAGTGGGTAAACTCTTGCTCCATTCCTGAGCCATTTGAGCTGAGCATGAATCAGAATGTCAGCAGTGACCTGGTGAGCCCTATATGTCAGCAGTGACCTGGAGAGGCCCTGCTCGTGGTCCCGCCTACGTCGCAAGCACGTTTGGTGGGGGACACGAGACAGGGCCTTTTCCGTGGTGGCCCCCTGTCTCTGGAACACTCTCCCCAAAGATCTTAGACAGGCCCCTACATTGGCAGTCTTCAGAAAGAATTTTGAAGACCTGGCTGTTCCGATGTGCCTTCCCCGATTAGGAAATCTCCAATACCAAGTCCCAGAAGCACTTTATTAGAATTTAAGACTGCCGCACACTGCACACTGCACTTGCCCTATAATATCACCTGTCACATCAGCACTTTTTAATCCTGTACCCTCTACTCTGGCCTGGCCCAGTTTTATCTTGTTGATGTATTGTTTATTGCTTGTGGTTTGTTGTTTTAATACTGCTTTAATTGTTTTAATTTTGCTTTAAGTGTATTGTTATGTTGTGTATTGAGGCCTTGGCCTTTGTAAGCCGCATCGAGTCCTTCGGGAGATGCTAGCGGGGTACAAATAAAGTTTAATAATAATAATAATAATAATATTAATATACCATGGATACAGATTACCAACCAGAGAGATGCTGACCTCTCTTTTCTTCTTGTGGTTTTGCAGCTCCTGTTACCCCAAGAATCCATCTGGTAGACAGTAGTAGATAGGCAGGTCTTTCTTTTTGTCTAATTCCAGGTTTTAGAATGCTCTATCAAAGGAAATTAGGTTGATGTCTTCTCAGTGTCCCATTTGTTAGAAACTGAACAAAAAATCATTCAGGTGAGCTCAGTGGTTGCTGGGGCCATGGCTGTTAATTGAGTAGGAGCCGTATTTTTTGTTTAGATGTGCTTGCGTTTTCAAGGTTCATTGCACTTAAATGTTCAAATTGTTTTTTGTTCCATTTCAATAGTCTGATGTAAATCATTTTAAAAGGAGTCCTGTAAGAAAAGCAAGAAGTACATTCTGTAAAAATATTAACCTATAGTTAGAATGGGGGGGGGGGGGGAGCCTGGTAGCCAGCAACATGTTCTAGTTTCCACCCCTCTCTACCCCAAAAATTAAGTTGCAAAAAAACCTACGTGTTATATATTAAAAACCTGCAGAGAGAGCCTGTGTTAGAAGCAAACGTTTGTAATGATTTTCTCAGTCTGATCATTAAACAGCTCCAGGTTTCAAATGCTAAATCCCATCTGAAAAACTTTCTCTCTTTGTCCCTTTTTCAGCAAGGTTTCTGTTCGTGAATCCCGATTTGGTCTTCTGACTTGAGCAGGATCCAGGTTTCCCAGACCACATCAATTTGGTGAAAATGGAGCGTTCATCACAGCGTGGCAAAGGTGAGGAAACATACAGCAGCTGTGGGAGCTGCTTGGAATTGCAATCCACTGCAATTTCTCTTCCTCTTTAGAGACCACCAAACATATTATCTCCTGTCTAGGGCCAGTGTCATGGGCTGCACACCCCATATCAAGCCACGGTAGTCCACGCTCTGGTTACATCCCGTATAGACTACTGCAATGCTCTCTACGTGGGGTTGCCTTTGAAGACTGCTCGGAAGCTTCAAATGGTCCAACACTCGGCAGCCAGGATGCTAACAGGAGCGGCACTCAGGGAGCATACAACTCCTCTGTTGCGCCAGCTCCACTGGCTACCAGTTTGCTACCGGGCACAATTCAAAGTGCTGGCGTTGGCCTATAAAGCCCTAAACGGTTCTGGCCCAACTTGCCTGTCTGAACGCATCTCCTCCTATGAACCAGCTAGGACATTAAGATCATCCGGGGAGACCCTGCTCTCAGTCCCGCCTGCAACACAGGCACGCCTGGCGGGGACGAGAGACAGGGCCTTCTCAGTGGTGACCCCTTGGCTGTGGAACGCCCTTCCTACAGATATTAGATCGGCCCCCTCCCTATTGGCATTTCGGAAGAAAGTGAAGACCTGGTTGTTCGAGCAGGCATTTGATTAGGCAGTGTAATGAATATAGGAACACGGAATAACGGATGATGAGATTGGATCTTGATTCTACTGATGAGACGCTAGTGATTTGTTATATTGATGCTTAATTGTTGATCATGCTACTGTTTTAACTGTCCCTTAACTGTTTTTATGATGTTTAGCATTGAATTTTTGCTGTTGTTAACCGCTTTGAGTCGCCTAATTTATATACTGCTGAGAAAAGCGGTATATAAATGAAGTAAGCAAATAAATAAATAACTTATTTTTTCAGTTCAAAAATCACTCCTCCCATATAAACATCTCTTAAAAAGTGTGTGTGTGTGTGTGTGTGTGTGTGTGTGTTTGTGTGTGTTGGTGGTACTAAAATTAGTGTGCATCTTACAATAGTTGCGCCTAAGAATTGAAGAAATGTGGTATGACCATTTACTTCTGCAGATTTCCAAAATGTCACATCACTTCCTATTATCATTTTGAGAGGGCTGTAAAATAAAATTGAGGTATTTGGAGTTCCTATGGAGTTCTGGGGATGGTGTGAGTGTATTTCTCTGTTTTTCTGCACAATTGAAGGCTTTATATGTGGTTTGTGGGCAAAGGTTGCCTCAAATCACATTGACTTTTAAAAATGAAATCGTGGGAGGTCATAGTTTTGCTCATGCTGTGAGGCCATTTTTTTGCCCATTCTTGGAAAAGCTCTCCAGAGCAGTTCAGGTGATAGTCCGCAAATGACTTTTCCTGGTTGGCGAAGGCTGACATAATAAATAATATATTGAATCGCTAGATTGCTAGAATTGGCCACGGTATACATTCTGGTTACACCCGTATAGACTACTGCAATGTGCTCTACGTGGGGCTGCCTTTGAAGACTGTTTGGAAGCTTCAGGTGGTCCAACGGGCGGCGGCAGCGTTATTAACAGGGGCAGCGCTCAGGGAGCACACAACTCCTCCTTTTATATGGACTATATTATATGTTAATATTTTTAATTATATTTTATGTTGTTGGGGGCATTGATTGCTGACTAAACCAACTTGAGTCACCTCTGGGCTGAGAAAGGCCTTATATAAATATTGTAAATAAATAATAAATAAAATAAATAGATCTCTTCCTGGTTAAGGAACTCCTAACTTATTAATCATAGTCAATTTGCTGTATTAAAATGTGAATGTATTTCCATCTAGGAGGAAATATCACTCTAAAGGAAAAAGGCGAAATAACTTGTGTATTTAGATAATAGGCAGGCTTCATCTCATGAGTCCTGTCCCAATCACTTACACCAACACACCTTGCCTCTTCTAGTGGGCCTCCACACTGTTGAATTGATGCAGCTTGACACCAATTTACCTGCAATGGCTCAATGCTATGGAATCATGGGAATTGTATTTGTACAAGGTTTTTAGCCTTCTCTGCCAAAATATGCTGGTGCCTCCCCAAACTTCAATTCCTAACGATTTTATTCCATTGATCCATAGCAGTTAAAGTTGTTTCAAACTTCATTAATCCCACACTGTCCAAGAGGGAATGCCTCATCTTAGTTCTGGAGGTTATTGCATTAAAAATAACCCAGTGTTTCCCAAATATTAGGCTGGACTGTCAAATTGAGGTGATTTTTTTCCTTTTAGGAAAACCAACAAAAGATTAATTCTCAGTCAACAGATGCAACATGGCAACCTTACTGACTGATTCCTCTTCCATTTTATTAGGATTTCTTAACATTGTTGTGATAAAAGTTGAGGAAGATGAGGATCCCGTGGACGAAAGTGCAGACAGTAATGATGCCCATACAGGTGAGGCATAGTTCTCATATTTTGAGATCCTTAATGAGGGCCACCTGGTAGGACCCCGCATGATACCAATATTGGATTATATGCCTATCTTCCAGTCCTCTTTATAGAGAATTTCAGGCTTGCTTGACCCTTTTAGCTGAAGATATACGAGTTAAAACTACAACTGTATGCAGCACATGTGTTTTACCTTTCAGCTTTCACCTGTACCTATCACTGGCTAAGAGTGAATCTAATCAAACATGGACTAGAGTTTGGAAAGCTTGTGCCTTTTGAATGAGTTTGACTACAACTACCACAATCTCCCAACCAGCATACACATAGTAACCAGTTTGAACTAGGCCAAATAAACAATAACACACTACCCCGCTAGGATTATAGGGATGGTTGATTGATCATACATTTTAGTTGATTTAAATCAACATACTTTCCCATGCAAAGGGAAAACTGTCACAAAAAGAAATAGTAATGTGCTGTCGCACGCTGGGCCTGTGCATTAGACTGTACACAGGACATAAAATCTTTGTGCCCAACGGGACGCCGGGGTTGCCCCAGATTAAAGGCCCTTAGATTCCCCCAAACAGAGTCTTTAGAATGCTTAAAGTAAATCCAACAAAGGTCTTTATTGCTGCAAACAATCAGGTACTTTAAAGGTTTCGTAACAGTCTATAGGCTAGTCTAAAGGCAGGCAACTGTTCCTTCACTGTTGGGAAAATCCTCGACCTCTACCTGGGCAATCTGTCTTCTCTTCTGTTGGCGTGGGACCCCTACACCCGGTCCAATCTGCTTTATGGTTGCCGCGAAGGGCCCTTACCGAACAGAGACTTTGCAGAACTTCCAGGAGGAGAAAGATGTTCACTTCCCAGTGATGGCTGGCTGAAGTCCCTCAGCCAAGCTGTGGCTGTATGTCTCCTGGCCAAGCCGTAGGGCTGTATAACCCCGGCCAAGCTGTAAAAGACGAAGCTTTTCTACAGGAGCCACTTCGTTCTATGTCCTGTGTGAAAGGCTTCTCTGTGAGAACTAACTCAAAATGGCTTTTCCCTCCAAAACTCAAAAAGGGGCGGGATCAGGGAACCTAACTATAACTGGCAGGTGGCTTACCCTATAAATGCAAATTATGACAGGAAAACCCCCTGCTACAAAATCCCAAGCATGGGATTGCACACAAACATGCAAACACAGCAAATAAATCTGGAGCTCCTGGAACAGCTGTTCCAGAACAAGTAAAATGAAAGAAAAAAATCTTTTCATCCAGGTTAGGAGGCTGTCTCTTCCCCAAACCTTGTGATTAATCTGTTTCTTCTTGACCCAGTTTTCTGGCTTTCTCGTTCAGATTTTCCTGAGGAGCCCACATTGCTAGACGAAGAAGAGGAACCACACAATTCTGATGAAGAGGAATCAGAGAACTTTCCAAAGACTAGCCAAGGTAAAAGTGTGGCCTATGAAGGACTTTGCCTGTTTGGGGAAGGATGGCATATGAAATCATCACTTAGAATCATAGAATCAAAGAGTTGGAAGAGACCTCAAGGGCCATCCAGTCCAACTCCCTGCCAAGAAGCAGGAAGTCCTTTTACTGGTTAAAGCAGTGGTTGGTCCTTTACTTGGTCCTTTTACTGGTTAAAGCAGTGGTTCTCAACCTTTGGGTCCCCAGGTGTTTTGACCTACAATTCCCAGAAATCCCAGCCAGTTTACTAGCTGTTAGGATTTCTGGGAGTTGAAGGCCAAAACATCTGGGGACCCACAGGTTGAGAACCACTGGGTTAAAGAATGCTTAGTAAAGGTAAAGGTTTTCCCTGGCATTAAGTCTGGTCATGTCCGACCCTGGAGGGTGGTGTTCATCTCCATTTCTAAGCTGAAGAGCTGGCAATGTCTGTAGACACCTCCAAGGTCATGTGGCCAGCATGACTGCATGGAGCGTCGTTACCTTCCCACCAAAGCAGTACCTATTTACTCACATTTTCATGCTTTGAAACTGCTAGGTTGGCAGAAACTGGGCCTAACAGTGGGAGCTCACCCCGTTCCCTGGATTTGAACTGCCAGCCTTTCGGTCAGCAAGTTCAGCAGCTCAGAGGTTTAACCCACTGCGTCACCAGGGGACCCAAAGAATGCTTAACTTTTGCATATCTTTATATGTAATGGAAAATATCACTCTAAACCAGTGGTTCTCAATCTGTGGGCCCCCAGGTTTTTTGGCCTACAACTCCCAGAAATTCCATCCAGTTTACTAGCTGTTACGATTTCTGGGAGTTGAAGGCCGAGACATCTGGGGATCCACAGAAATAATTTGTGTCTGTATGTGGTTAGATATATAAAAGACTTTTTAAATTTTTAAAAATTATTTATTTAGATATTTTTTGCTCCACTCCTCAGCTACAAAAGCACTCAGAGCAGCTTACAAAATGTTAATGTACCCTCAGGCTTACAAAGTACATAAGATAAAGAATTATTATATAAATATTACATAAAACATGATGTTGCTGTGTCTTGCTGGCTGTCAGCCTCCCACTCAATGGCCTGCAGAATGGCAGTTGGAGCTGGTGGGAGGAGCTCTGAACAGTTGCTGAGTGAAACACCTTTAGAGAGAGAGAGGGAGAGAGAGAAAGAGCACCTTGCTTCACAGCACTCTCACCTACCCACCTAATACTTTGATCCTCCTCCTTTAAATGATAATAACTCTTTTTAAATGGCACTTGCCATCTACAGGTTTTGCTAGTTCCGGCATTAAAAATAATTTAATATTGTCGAAGGCTTTCATGGCTGGAATCATTGGGTTGTTGTAGGTTTTTTTCAGGCTATATGGCCATATAGCCCGAAAAAACCTACAACAACCCAATAATTCAATATTGTTTAAGCATTAAACTGGACCAGAAAATATGGTGGCACTTTTTGTGCCAGTCAAGTGAAATGTCTAAAGGTTGATGCTCCAGCCAGTCTTGTTGACTGCTTCATCTCGCCTCTTCCCTCTTGTTCAGGATTTCAAGGTATTGTAGTTGAAGAAGATGAAGACTTGGAAGATAGTGCAGCTGTTACCGGTGTCTGTACAGGTAAGGGCAGGATTGTTATATTCCTGCAGCAATAATATGTTTCATGCTTATGTCTATGTTTGATGTTTTTATAGTTTTAATGGTTTTAATCTACAATTATATGTTATTGATTGATTGATTTATTATTTACAGCATTTATATTCTGCCCTTTCTTACCCCACAGGGGATCACAAAGCACACATATAGGGCAAACATTCATGCCATAGACCAGTGGATCTCAACCTGGGGTTCCCAGATGTTTTTGGCCTACAACTCTCAGAAATCCCAGCTAGTTTACCAGCTGTTAGGATTTCTGGGAGTTGTAGGCCAAAAACATCTGGGGACCCCAGGTTGAGAACCACTGCCATAGACACACGACATATATAGACAGAAACACAGAGGCTATTTAACTTTCCAGCTTCATGAGGGTATGCTTTTTAAATTCCGGCCACCGGGGAGCTGTCACTTCACCATCCACTTCTGACACCGATGGAGTATTTCCTCATTCTTTTGCTTGCTGGAGAGTTTTTATGATTTCATAAATTAGTTAAATTAGCCTCCCCGCATAAGCAATACCTAAATTTCCTACTTGACAGATGCAACTGTCTTTCGGGCTGCTAAGGTTGACAACAAGCTAGACAGATGGCTGGAAGCTCACTCTGACCCGGGCTGGCTTCAAACTCATGACCTCTCAGTCAGTAGTGATTTTACTACATCCAGTATGATGTCCCCATATTTCAAGCTTACTTGATCCTTTTAGCTGAACGTGCCTGGAGTTAGTGTGCAATGTATGTGGTCAGTCGCTTAAAATTCTCAGCTATTTGGGATTTCAACCTGGGACTGTCTGTCCATTACATGTTATTTACCTCTGCGGTGGTCCATTCTTAGTTGCTCCAGCCAGTTGGTGGATGGAAATTGGGGGACTTATTAACCCTTTCCTCTTCTCATCTGTTTAGGATTTTCTGACATAGTAGAAGACAAAGAGTTGTGCAACCGGGAATCCAAAAAAGGTTCAAGTGTTGCTCGGAACCGTTCAGGTAAGGGGACCTTTCCTCCCATTGGCAAGAAGCTGTCATGGCAGAGTCTCCAGGGCCCGACATCTGCCTAAGGAGTGGGGCAGACCACAGAACAACTTGTGTGGCCTCTTCTTTCTATGAAACTGTATTTAATATTAATTATATGGAAATAAAAGTATAATTATTTGTAAAGTAATTGGGACATTTTTATATAATAATTATAATTATTTTACTCTCCTTCCTTTCTCTGTGCCATGGTTCTGTATTATGACGAGGGTTGCACTCAATGGCCCTTGGAGTCTCTTCCAACTGTGATTTTATTCTATGATCCACAGCACTGCTAATATACCACGAATGAATAAGTCAGTCTCAAGGATAAGAGATCCTTGAGATTGACTTATCCATTAATGAGATTGACTTATCAGTTCATGCGGTAGCTAAGAAAACCAGTGCGATTTTGGCCTGCATAAACAGGAGTCTAGTGTCTAGATCCAGGGAAGTCATGCTACCCCTCTATTCTGCCTTGGTCAGACCACACCAGGAATCACACTGTGTCCAATTCTGGGCACYACAATTGAAGGGAGATGTTGACTTTAAGCTGGAATGTGACCAGAGGAGGGTGACTAAAATGATCMAGGGGTCTATTGAACAATCCASTATTGACTTGAGTAKAAGCCGAGGKTGGAAAATGCAGCAGCTAGTGGTCAATTTCAAAATAAAAATAGATACCAAGAAAATTACATTAATTGAGTCATCAGTAAGTTAAATGTTTTTGAATATTTACATAAATCTGTAATTTAAGATAAGATTGTCCAACTCTGATTAAACCATTATTCTATTTTATTTATTTATTTATTTATTTAGGGTACTTTTACCCCGCCCTTCTCAACCCCCGAGGGGGGACTCAGGGCGGCTTACAAAAGGCACAGTTCGATGCCTATACAAAAATTATACATAGTGTACAAAACCATAGTTRAAACAATTCTAACCTTCCTTCTTCAATGTAAATGTGCTTACGTATCCTTCCAATAATAATAAATGTAATAATAATAATAATAATAATAATAATAATAATAATAATAATAGAGTAAAATAATAAATGTAATAAAAAGTCTAAAATAAGAAATGTCATATTAAAAATAAATAGTATAACATATTTAATAATAATAATAATAATAATAATAATAATAACAGAGTAAAATAATAAATAACCTTGACTTGAGTATAAGCCGAGAGGGGATTTTTCGGCCTAACAAAAGGGCTGAAAAMCCCGGCTTATACTTGAGTATATACAGTATGTTTTTTGCCACATTTACTGCTATGGATAAATGGCAAAATTATGGTCACATCAAACTGAAGTAGGCTACCTATCCAATATTTTCTTGGGGACTATAAATGATTCAGGATTTCTATTAAAGATCTTTTTTTGTAAGCCTTGCCATTTAACCGTGTCTGTTCTTCACCCCAACAGATAAATGGAAGAATAGCACATTATACAAATACTTGGAGAGCGGAAGCTATACAGCTGACAGTCCACCCCATCTGAGGCACCCAATAGACCTCATAGCAGAGGAAGAAGATAGTTTCCAGAAGCCTGACTTTACTCAGAGCTCACGCTTTATGAGACCTCCAGCAGTCCCCACAAGTGAGAAATTTCATGGCTTCCAGGAGCGGGAGAAGTATTTTGCTGAGACATCGGCTCTTCTGATGCAAGACGCAGGAGAGAAGTCGTATCAATGCCAGGAGTGTGCTAAAAGTTTCACTTGCATTCCAGACCTTGTCAACCACTGGAAAGTCCACATAGGGGAGAATGCATGCAAATGCCAGGAGTGGGGAGGGTGTTTTTCTGAGGCTGAACATCTTGGGAACCACCAAGAAATGCACCCAGGAGGAAAACCGGGTGAATGCCTAGATTGGGGGAAATGCTTCTCTTACAGTGCATACCTTGAGAGGCACCAGAAACCCGAAGACGTGTTGAAACCTTATAAATGCCAGGATTGTGGGAAGGGCTTTGCATCCACTGCATATCTTCGGCGGCACATGAGGGTCCACTCAGGGGTGAAGCCATACAAATGCCAAGAGTGTGGCAAGTCTTTCTCTTTCAGTTCCCACCTGGTGATCCATAAGCGAGTCCACACAGGAGAGAAACCGTACAAATGCAAGGAGTGCGGGAAATCATTTGCCTCGAGCCCACAACTTGCCAACCACCAAAGGATCCACACCGGGGAGAAGCCCTATAAATGCCAGGAATGTGGGAAATGCTTTACCCAGAGCTCCCATCTCATGGGTCACTTGAGCATTCACACAGGGGAGAAGCCGTATGAATGCCAAGAATGCAGAAAGTGCTTTGCTCGCAGCTCAGACCTCGTCTACCACTGGAGAGTCCACACAGGAGAGAAGCCGTTTAAATGCGAGGTGTGCGGGAAATACTTTGCTCGGAATGGACATCTTAAGATCCACCTCAGAATCCACACGGGAGAGAAGCCGTATGAATGTCTGGAGTGTGGAAAAGCATTTGCTCGCAATTCGGAGCTGGTGAGCCACAAGAAAGTCCACACTGCTCTGAATATGAACTTTATTGACCAATTATGTTTACCAAACCAATAACCTGTCTTTGAAAGGAAGCACAGAATGTGAGGAATGTATCTTTACCACATTATGTAATTTCAGAGTCTTCATCCGCTGTCTTATGGGCAGTGAAGCCGAGGAGGGCGCTATAGTTCGAAATTAGTTTTTATCCTCCCCACATCTTGTTGGAGAGTCCGCAGAGAAAACGATGTGTAGAAATCTCTGTAAAGAAGAAGAAAGACGCCATGCATCCTTTTGTGTCAACAGATGCACCCAGATTGTGGACTTTTTTTTTATTCCACTGTTTGTAGAAATTTTGGAAGAAAACAATTACATTTGTCTGTTGTAGCATAAATGGAAAAAGGGGAGCAGAATGGAGGAAGACATCTAGTAGTAACTTGATGACTGAGTGCTTTAAATTTTAGCATAGCTATCAGTCCCATGTCCTCATAAAGTGCTGTTGCATCTGAGGAAGCAGATTGATAGCCTCACTTGGTTGTTGCACCCGAGGAAGTGCATAGATGCCCATCAATGCTAATTGTAAAATACAAATCATTTAGTTTTGAAGGTGCTGCTAGATTGCTTTTATCCCCAGGAGAAGATCATCTTTAAATAATCATGTTGAGAATCTGTAAAACTAGACTCCCATAACAAGAGGGATTTGGATAACCCTCTATCCTGCTTCCAGGATGGTCCAGAGTGAGATACTGACAAGCAGAGCAAGGGGGGGAAACTCCCAAACTCTTCCCAATTCTTTTCTATTCTGGCAGTCTTGTGCTTTCGGGGCAAACCTTGCCCCGTTTCATGTCCCAGCTTTTGTCGGGGGACCCCAATACGTTTTTGAAATCCTCCTGAAATTGGGAGGGCTTTTTCGGATCAGGGTCCCAAAATTCGGACCACTATTGAGGTGGGGGAGGCTTCCTATACACTAGCACCCCTTCCCGGCGTTCTTCTTACCTGGTACCTGCTGTTGCTCCTCAGGAGAAAGGTGCTCAGCTACAGACAGGCCTGGAGCACACCTGTAAGCTCCGCCAGCTGCCCCACAGGCTCTGCCACACTCTTGGAGTGAGTGTGTGTGTGTTTGTGTGGGGTGGAGCCTGCAGACAGGCCTGAAGTGTGCCTACAGGCCCTGCCACACTCTCAGAGAGTGTGTGTATGGCGGGGTCAGCAGACAAGCCTGGTGTGCACCTACAGACCTTGCTACACACTTGAAGAGTGTGTGTGTGTGTAGCGGGGTCTGTAGGCAGTACTGGAGTGTGCCTGCAGCCTAGCTCCAGACCTGTCCAAATGCAGCTCAACATGAAAGCAGGCTTTCATGTTGAGCAGATTTCCATGTGTGGAAGGGGCTTCCTGTTTCGTGCTTCCGAAGACACGAATGAAACGGTAGGAACGAATTTTGCGCACATGACTAATTCTGCGGTTCTGATGGTAGCGTTTACCTGTTCTTAATTTCTGAATCTGTTCGTTGTGTCTCCTATTTTTGAGCAGGAGAACATCACCTTTGATGGTTAAATGGTTAAGGATCAATAATTCAAGCTGAAGCCGCTGTGGAAAAGAACGGCTGGCTTTTGGCGATTGATTGTGGTGTTTTGTAATAGTTTTCAATGAAGTAGTCTCCTTATTCTCTTGGAGCATAGAAAGAAAAAAGGGAGGGGTAGGAACTGGGAGGGAAAGAAATCTAGTGGTGTTTTGAAGACCAATTTATATTTTAGCATGAGCTTTCCTGGGTTAATCAATCAATTTCTCTTCAGATGCAATGGTGGAATGGTTTTTAAAGCCTGGGCATATTTAGATTGAAAGGTGCACATTGTGACCATTGCCCTAAATTGTCAAAGGGCTGTGTGAGGTGATACAAATTTTTCAATTTTTTACATTGTTCGTTTAGTGTTAGTATGTGAAATCAACAAATCCGCTTGCCCACAGTCAGTTTCCTTTGGGTCAAAAGCTTTACTGAGAAGATTCCTTTTGTCGTCTGTGCAGTAGCAAGGACTTGTATTAATATATATGTAGTGTGCCATGAAGCCATTATCTTTGTTCATTCTTCTGGTAATGAGATTACTGAATATAAATTCAATTTGGTTGTTTCGCTTTCTAGTTTTCCTTTGTAATTTCTTTGTTCAACAACTTTGTATGTGCAAAAAGGCCTGTTCAGCAATAAGTGGAAGGAAACTGGGCTTTCTTGCAAAACTTTGTTATAGTCGAATTTTGAATCTATTTCTCCTTCAAAGCTTCAATGTTTTTAATGTATCACACATTTATAGGGTCAATCAATAAATCTTTCAGTTATCTGGAAAATTTTGCTGTCACGACTTCTTCTGTATTGACCATAAACAATGGTGGACCCTCCCTCCATATTAAACTGTCATTCAATTGGAAACTGAGTGGGAGGGAGCCAGTCTACCAACCAGGTACTCCCCAGCAGCCATGGAGAGACCGTCCTGCCATCTATAACTGTCATTCCACCAGAAGCTGAGTGGGAGGGAGCCAGTCTATCAATCAGGTACTCTCCAACGACAGCTGAGTGACCCCTCTGCCATCCTTAAGTGTCATTACATTGTACGCTGAGTGGGAGGGAGCCAGCCTACCAACCAGGCCTTCTCCAGCAATGGTTGAGAGACCGTCCCTTTGGCATCAGCTGCCCGACTGACTAACGTTCTACTAAGAGCCTGATTCCATCGGGGCGTTTATGGTCTTATCCAGACCCAACCATCAGTGAGAACAATCAGAGCTACAACTCGATTGGCAGCTTCCCTGACCTGTGCTCCGTTCGGCCTTCCCTCCCAATGCCCAGCATTGACCTTCAGAGGTTGGTGCGGCAGAGCCACGCTACCATTGCCCGCTACCACACCATGACCTCGTGGAGACTTTTCTTAATTTTCTCACTGGCTCACTGGCGAAATATGCTATTTAATTGATAAGTCTCCACAATAATTGTAATTGGCTTAAAATGTTTTAATGCTTTATATTTATTGATCTCTTATTTCTGGGTGTTATTTATGTTGTTTTTGTCTTGTATTTTATGTTAAAGCCAGCACTGGAAGGTAGCAGACTAAACTGTATTACTGTCTATGGACTAGATGGAGTTTGGGGTGAGGCTCATTAGTCAATATAATTTAGTCCACAGCACTCTCTTGGTGTAGGTGAACTACAACTTCAAAACTCAAGGTCAGTGCCCACCAAACCCTTCCAGTGTTTTCTGTAGGCCTTGGGAGTTGTGTGTGTCCAGTTTGGTTCAATTCAATCATTGGTGGGGTTCAGAATGCTCTTTGATTGTAGGTGAACTACAAATCCCAGCAACTACAACTCTACAATGACAAAATCAATCTCTCCAACCCCACCAGTATTTAAATTGGGCGTATCGGGTATTTGTGCCAAATTTGGTCCACTGAATGAAAACACATCCTGCATATCAGATATTTACGAGGGTTGAATGAAAAGTAATGCCTTTACCTTCGTAACCCCTGATGGCAGTACTGGTATGCAGCAGGCACTGGCTCGTTCAGTAGACTCTCCTCTACAGTTCCATTTTGGCGGGAAGCCTTAGCATTGAACGGTTGTGTTGTTAAAGTGTGAAGTATGGAACCCTGTCAATGCGCCTTAAGCAACGTGCAGCCATTGAATTCTTGACAGCAGAAGGTGTCACCTCAAAGGAGATTCATCAGAGAATGCAAGCTGTTTATGGTGAGTACTGTGTGTTTTCGGGCGAACAAGTTTAAAGATGTTGAGGTAGGAACATCTGACTTGCGTGACAAACAAAGAGTTGGACGTCCTGTGACAGCAACCACTGAGTTTCAAAAGCAAAAGGTTGACAGATTGATTCAGGACAATCGTCGTATCACTCGGAGAGAAATTTCAAGCATAATCGGCATTTTACAAGAACTTGTGGGTCACATTATTGCTTTGCTTGGCTATTGAAAGATCTGTGCACAATGGGTACCCAGGATGCTGACACATGAAATGAAAGCGCACAGACTTTTTTCGTGACGGCTTCAGAAAACATGTTCATCGTTGGCAGAAATGTATCCAATTGTCTGGTGATTATGCGGAAAAAGTGAATAGTGGTAGTTAAAGAGCACATTCAAAGGATTATTTCTGTGTTTGATTTATTAAAATATTCCCATCCAAACCCAAGTAACGAAGGTGGAGGCATTACTTTTCATTCAACCCTTGTACATTATTCATAACAGTATCAAAATTCCAGTTATGAAATAGCAACGAAAATAATGTTATGGTTGGGGGTCACCACAACATAAGGGACTGTATTAAGGGGTCACAGCATTGGGAAAGTTGAGAACCAATGGTCTAGCTGGAGTGTGTGTGTTTGTGTATGTTTCTTTAAGGAGCATGCGCATTGGGAGGGTGAGGGATGAGCTGGCATTGGGTCTGCAGCACCAGCAGCTCTGCAAGCTTCCTTGCCCTCTTGCTGGCATGGCTTCAACACGTAACGTGAGTGTTATACTCGAAGGAGTACCGCGGTGCAACCCTGAAAGGAGTCCTCCCGAAACACGAACCCGAAACCGATGTGCTAAAGAAAGAAGCAAGGCGGTGGCTGCTGGCAAATTTGAAACAGGTAATGACATAAAATAAAATTAAAAAGCAAAATAGAGGGAGGATGGGGCTTCCTGGTGCGAGATCGAGTTAGATGAAAAGGATCTATGCCAGTCCATCAGCATAATCCAATCCATATACATTAACACAGGAGTGCATCCACACTGCAGAATTAATGCAGTTTGACACCGCTTGAACTGTCATGGCTCAATGCTATTGAGTCGTGGGATCTGGAGTTTTGCAGGTCTTTTAGCATTCTAACTACAAATCCCATGATCCCACAGCACTGAGTCCTGGCAGCTCAAGTGGTATCAAACTGCATTAATTCTACAGTGTAGATGCACCCAGTGACAGGCTGTCAAGCCAGCAGGATGTATGGTTTTAATAAGACTCAACAATCTTATTGCTTCATAGGCCTATATCTTTTTAGAAACCCTTTGTAGGTGTGTATTGGTGTGATATACCTTTAAGTCAATTCACAACAGGGTTGTTGTAGGTTTTTTTGTGCTATATGGCCATGTTCTAGAGGCATTCTCTCCTGACGTTTCGCCTGCATCTATGGCAAGCATCCTCACCTCACTACCTCTGAGGTTGCTTGCCATAGATGCAGGCGAAACGTCAGGAGAGAATGCCTCTAGAACAGTGTTTCTCAACCTGGGGGCCGGGACCCCTGAGGGGGTCACAAGGGGGTGTCAGAGGGGTCACCAAAGACCATCAGAAAACACAGTATTTTCTGTATTGTCGAAGGCTTTTATGGCCGAAATCACTGGGTTGTTGTAGGTTTTTCCGGGCTATATGGCCATGTTCTGGATGCAATACCTCTGAGGTTGCTTGCCATAGATGCAGGCAAAACATCAGGAGAAAAATTGCCTCCAGAACATGGCCATATAGCCCGGAAAAACCTACAACAACACAGTATTTTATGTTGGTCATCTGGGTTCTGTGTGAGAAGTTTGTCCCAATTCTCTTGTTTGTGGGGTTCAGAATGCTCCTTTATTGTAGGTGAACTATAAATCCCAGCAACTAAAACTCCCAAATGTTAAGGTCTATTTTCCCCAAACTCCACCAATGTTCATATTTGGGCATATTGAGTATTTGTGCCAAGTTTGATCGATATCCATCATTGTTTGAGTCCACAGTGCACTCTGGATGTAGGTGAACTACAACTCCAAAAACTCAAGGTCAATGCCCACCCACCTCTCTGGTATTTTCTGTTGGTCATGGGTGTTCTGTGTGCCAAGTTTGGCCCAATTCCATTGTTGGTAGAGTTCAGAATGCTCTTTGATTACAGGTGAACTATACATCCCAGCAACAACAACTCCCAAATGACAAAATCAACCCCCCCCCAAAAAAAACCTCCCCACAAGTATTCAAATTTGGGCGTACTGGATATTTGTGTCAAATTTGGTCCAGTGAATGAAAATACATCCTGCATTGATAGTTACATTATGATTGATATCAGTAGCAAAATGACAGTTATGAAGTAGGAAGGAAAATAATTTTATGGTTGGGGGTCACCACAACATGCAGAATTGTATTAAGGGGTCACAGCATGAGGAAGGTTGAGAACCACTGTTCTAGAGGCATTCTCTCCTGACGTTTCGCCTGCATCTATGGCAAGCATCCTCATCTCACTACCTCTGAGGATGCTTGCCATAGATGCAGGCAAAACGTCAGGAGAGAATGCCTCTAGAACATGGCCATATAGCCCGAAAAAACCTACAACAACCCCGTGATTCCAGCCATGAAAGCCTTCGATAATACAGTTCACAACACATTGCCACTTTTATCATAGGAGCATTTGATAATATTTAAAGAGAAGAGGATGCTGAGCTTGGAGAAGAGAAGGCTAAGGGGAGCGTGAGAGCCATGTTTAAGTATTTGGAAAGATATCATCTGCAGATACTATTATTATTATTATTATTATTATTATTATTATTATTATTATAGGCGGACACTTCCCAAGTGTCTAGGACTGTGTGATGTATTGCCGAATAATGCGTGCAGATCCCAGTGAGGTGGCCTTCTGCAGCTGGCAGATGGTAATTTTGTCAACGCTGATTGTGTTTAAGTGCAGGCCAAGGTCCTTAGGCACTGCACCCAGTGTGCCAATCACCACTGGGACCACCTTTACTGGGTTGTGCCAGAATCTTTGCAGTTCAATCTTTAAATCTTCATATTGTGTTGTTGTTGTTGTTGTTGTTACATACACAACAACATTAGTACAAAGCAAACAAGATCACTATGCTGGCATTTATTTATTTGTTTATTTAGTTATTTATTTATTATTCTATTACTCCCCTCTACTGTATTTTAATATTCAGTATGGTGAAATAGTTACCTGAAAAATAATAGTGATGGTGAATCATGTCATAGTTTAAGTTCCTTTCTTCCAACAGCTGGGCAATTCTAGAATGGCAGTGACTGTGGAATGGAACTAATGCAATTCAATGCTTCCAGTTGCCTTGTGCTTACTCTGAATGTCACTCTTAGAGTGGATTCTCTCATCCAAGAGAAAGGAAGCAACATAGCATTTTGCTGGTAATTCTCAGTCCTGCCTTGTGCTTTATGGTGTGTTCTTTGCTCTGACAGAGGTCTTTCCTTTCATTGCTGCTTTCCTTTGTCCTGCTGTTGGAGGTTTTATTTATTTATTTATCGTGTCAGGAGCAAACCAAACAGTTGTATTGCATTTTTAACAAACAAACAAACAAACAAAACACAAAGTTTGCAAGCTTGGTAGTTGATGAAATGTCCTTTGACCAGTATCTGGCCACTTGGAGTGCCTCTGGTGTTGCCGCAAGAAGGTCCTCCCTTGTGCATGTGGCAGGGCTCAGGTTGCATTGCAGCAGGTGGTCTGTGGTTTGCTCTTCTCCACACTCGCATGTCGTGTATTCCACTATGTGGCCCCATTTCTTAAGGTTGGCTCTGCATCTCGTGGTGCCAGAGCGCAGTCTGTTCAGCACCTTCCAAGTCGCCCAGTTTTCGGTCTGCCCATGGGGGAGTCTCTCATTTGGTATCAGCCATTGATTGAGGTTCTGGGTTTTAGCTTGCCACTGCCAGTGGCAGGCTGTTGGAGGTGACAGGCATGCAAGTTTTCTTGGGCTGCACTTGATCTTCCTCAATATAAGAATGAAAGGAGGTCTAGCCCAAGAAGTTGTGGCTTGAGCAGGAGAAGGACCATGCATAAATATTTGAAGGGATGTCATAAAGAAGAGGGAACAGGCTTGTTTTTTGCTTACCTGGAGACTAGGACTCGGTGGGTTTAAATGACAGAAAAGGAGATTCCACCTGAGCATTAGGAAGAACTTTCTGACCATAAGAAGAGCTGTTCACAGTGGAACGCTCTACCTTGGAGTGTGGTGGAAGCTCCTTCCTTGGAAGCTTTTAAACAGAGGCTGGATGGTCATCTGTCAGATGTACTTTGATCGTGCTTTTCCTGCATAACAGAAGGGGGTTGGACTAGATGGCTCATGAGGTCTCTTCCAACTCTATGATTCTATGATAGAGCAAATTGAGCGAAGCTGTTTAGAACCCAAAGCTAGCCACACTGTGAGGCTAGTGGCATTTCCATTCCTGGACCATAAACATCCAACAGCCAGCATGGCATAGTGGTTTGAGCATTGGACTATGACTCTGGAGATTTGATTTCCTGCTCAGCCATTAAACCCATTGGATGAATAAAGACTTTGTTAAAATTTACCTGAGGAAACACTCTTTTAGGATTCTCAAGGTTGTCTAGCACAAGTCTGTATTCAACATCCAATGAAATTTGATCATAGTTGTACTGGAGGACCTAGGGATTCATAAAGAGGTGTTTTCTCACAATAAAATTTATTTATTCATGGTTTCTCCATTTCTGAGGAGATCCTATACCTCTAACCCAGGCATGGACAAACTTCAGCCCTCCAGGTTTTTTCGACTTCAACTCCCAGAAATCCCAACTAGCTTACTGACTGTTAGGAAATGTGGGAGTTGAAGTCCAAAACACCCAGAGGGCCAAAGTTTGCTCATATCTGCTTTAACCCCACTGAATGTGGGAGGGCTACTGTATTTATGTAATTGCCATAAGAAAAAAGTTGTTCTCTATATTGAGTGAAGCAACGTACTCCCAATTGCATTCCTCTCAGAACTCTACACATTTTCTATGACTTTTTTTCGTGTCAGGAGCGACTTGAGAAACTGCAAGTCACTTCTGATGTGAGAAAACTGGCTGTCTGCAAGGACGTCGCCCAGGGGATGCCCAGATATTTTGATGTTTTACTATCCTTGTGGGAGGCTTCTCTCATGTCCCCGCATGGGGAGCCAGAGCTGACAGAGGGAGCTCATCCACACTCTCCCTGGATTTGCACCTCTGACCTGTCAGTCTTCAGTCCTGCCGACACAAGGGTTTAACCCATTGCACCATTGGGGGCTACTACTGTATGACTACAATGACATCGCTACTGGCACAGCAGTGTGTCTGCTGCTTGCTCTACTTGCTAATTTCCATCAAGGTGACTTCAGTTGACTTCAGCATGTGGCAACTCTATCATCCACCCTTCTTCTTCCTTCTGTTCTTCCAGTTCCTCTTCCTCTTCTGGGTTCAGCTTTAAATATGTTTTAAAGCAGTTTTATGAATTTTAACTTTTTTTAAAAAAATACTATTGATATTTAATTCTGTTTTAAACATAATCATAATTTTCCTTTTCTTCCTCCTCTTCCACTTTCCTCTCTTAAAAGACACTCTTAAGTGGTTTAAGTCATGCAGCTGTAGATTCCTTGACTGAGTCTTATCAAGCTGGAATGTGGTCTTCCTCCTTTCCTACTGCCTTCTATCTTCCCAAGCATTGTTGTCTTGTCTACATAGTCATATCTTCTAATGCTTGTATTGTGTCTAGGGACTAAGAGCAGGGCCTCGGAACATAGGCAGCTGTGTTATTCCATATCAAAGCCCCATATTCTACCTCTTGCCACTGGATCTTTCTGACCAACTCTATATTCTTCCAGTTTTTGTGTCAGAAACTGCAAGTCGCTTCTGATGTGAGAGAATTGGCTGTCTGAAAGGGCGTTGCCCAGGGGACACCCGGGTGTTTTGATGTTTTACCATCCTTGTGGGAGGCTTCTCTCATGTCCCTGCACGGGGAGCTGGAGCTGACAGAGGGAGCTCATCCGCACTCTCTCTGGATTAGAACCTCTGACCTTTCAGTCTTAATTCCTGCCGGCACAAGGATTTAAGATGTCAGGCACTGAATAGCATGTGCACTATCATCGAGCTAGGGCTGGTCACTTTAACACCTTCTATTCACTTCTCCACTTTGGTCATGGTCTCCAATCACGTTGAACAATCTTGACATGCCTTTGAAGGATTGCCAGAAGGCCTATAGACCGAATATATGGGAGGAAAAGTGGAACATGGTTTAGGTTTTCTCTCTCTCTCCCTTTTGGCCAGGATGCAGTAGCCTTTGAGGATGTTGCTGCGTTCTTCACGAAGAGCAGAGGGCTCTTTTGGATTGGAATCAGAGAGCTTTGGACCAGGAAGTTATACGAAAGAATTATGATGATGTGGCTTCTTAGGTAAGGATCCCTTTTATTTCTTTTAATAGAAACATAGAGTTGGAAGAGATCACAAGGATCACAAAGAGAAAGCTGAGAGGAGATCTGATGAGGGCCATGTATAAATCTGTGAGGGAAAGTCATAGGGAGGTGGGAGAAAGCTTGTTTTCTGCTGCCCTGGAGACTAGGACACAATGGAACAATGGCTTCAAACCGCAGGAAAGGAGATTCCTTAGTAAACTTAGTTCACTGTTGAACAGCTCTCACCATCAGGAAAATTTCCCCAATATTTAAGTGGAATCTCTTTTCCTGTAGATTGAATCCATGGGATATAGGGCAGTGTAGATGCAGCCCTACTCTCGGAGAAGACAAGTTTTCCCTAACTTTAATATGACATCTTTTCAAATATTTAAACATGGCTATCATGTTTACACCTAGGCCACTCTTTGGCTTCCACGCCTTTTATTGTTTTGGTCGCCTCCTCCAGACACCTTCCAGATTGTCAATATCCTTGAATTGTGGTGCCCAGAAATGGGCACAGTGTCATTCCAGGTGAGATCCAAAGCAGAATAGAGTGGGACTATGACTTCCCTTGATCTAGACACTATATTCCTCTTGATGATCCTCAGGGTTTCTTTCAACTCTATGAATCTGAATGGCAAATACAGCATACATGAGATCCTTTGTATCATTCAAACTCTTTCTCTTTCTCCTCTCTGTATGTATTTTTGAGCAGGAATCCCATTTTTCAAGCCTGATTTGGTCTCCTGGCTTGAGCAGGACCCTTGGTTTTCAGACCAGCCCATCTTGGAAAAAATGGACTTTGCGTCACAGCCCAAAAAAGGTGAGACAACAAATCTTGGTGGTGTAAAAATTCCATATTGCTAGTAGGTAAGATGAATGTAATGCATGGTCATCCTAATGTTGCTGGACGTTATCTCCCAGTAGCAAAATATAATGGGACTTGCAGTTCAACAATATTGTGGTTGTGGTGAATCTTCTCCACTCTTGAGACTTCATCATACAAGAGCATATATCTCACTTTAAATCCTGTGGCTGCCTCCTGCAGAGTTCTGGGGTTTGTAGTTTAGTGAGCCCCAGGACCTCTCTGGCCGAGCAGTTTGAAGGCTCCTCCCTAAACTATAAAACCTAGGGCCCTTCAACACAGCCCTATATCCCAGAATACTAAGGCAGAAAGCCCCACATTATCTGAGTGTGGACTCAGATAACCCAGTTCAAAGCATTCTATGGGAGGCAGCCACAGGATTTAAACTGGATAGATACTTTGGTGTGATGAGGTTCTAGGTCTACAGTAGTGTTGCCCATACTCTGGTCTTCTATGTGTTTTGGACTTCAACTCCCAGAATCCCTGATTATTTTGCCAAGACAGTTGAGGCTTCTGGGAACTGAAGTCCAAAACACCTAGAAGATTGTTCTTGGAGACTCACTGGTCTAGAGATTTACACTGAATGCAGTTGTCCTTTGTCTTTCTGGGCCAGGAGTTAGGTTTGTCCTCGAGAACCTCATTTTCTCACCACTTTCTGCTGATCAGGGTTCGAAGCTATGAGAATCAAGATGGAACTAGAAGAAGTGTCATGTCGCCTCCCTCGGGGTGATTTGGAGTCCTTCCCAGAGACCAGCTCAGGTGACCTACAGAGCAATTAAGAGCTTTCCTATTTAATTGGAGTTTTAAACCATAGATGTGCATTTCTTATTAGCTAGTGCAATATCACTGATCCTTCCACTAAGTTCATCTTCTCTGTCTCTTTTCCTCCGAGCAGAGTTTCCACTTGTCCAGCCTGATTTGATCTCCTGGCCTGAGCAAAAACCTGGCTTTCCAGATCAGCTTGCCTTGGAGAAAGTAGACATTGCATCACAGTCCAATCCAGGTGAGATAAACAAATCTGATACACTCAGCCCAAGAGTAGGACTGGAAGATGATGATATTGGACTGCAAACCTCATCAGGCACCAGAGCGCATGGTGATGGTAATAGGAGTTACAGCCCATAACATCTTGGGACCCCAAAGTCTTGCATTCCTGCTTCTGTATGAAAGCCAGGCAATTTCCCCTCTTATCTAGACTGGAAGACCAAACTGTCCATAATCTAAACCCCATTTCTTGCCTCTTTATCTATTCAGGTTTTTCTGAAGTGGTGGTTAAGCTGGAACAAGAAGAGGATCAATGTGGCCTATACAAGCAGGAATCCAAGACATTTGCAGATATGAGCTCAGGTGAAGACAATGTGCTATTTGAGGTCTTTTACCTGTGGGACTATCAAATTACACAATTATTATACTATGGCCCCATTTTACCGATGTGGTTGAGTCCTGTGTAATCCTGGAGTTTGTAATTTGGGGAAGCACTAGAGCAGTGGTTCTCAACCTGTGGGTCTCCAGATGTTTTGGTCTTCAGCTCCCAGAAATCCTAACAGTTGGTAAACTGGCTGGGATTTCTGGGAGTTGTAGACCAAAATACCTGGGGACCCAAAGGTTGAGAACCATTGCACTAGAGATTTCTGGCTGAGAATTCTAAATATCCCTCCCGAAACTTCAAATCCCAGGGCTCCTCGTGATGTTGGATGGCAACTAAAGAGGAAACACAGTGCGGTATATTTATATTCAGTTGGCCACATTTGTGGGGTTGACTTATGCAAATTTAATTATAGTGTTCTCACTAACAATCCTCCAGTGAGTGTTGGAGATAACAGCCTTCTCAAGACCCCTCTATTTAGTTTTTTGTCTGTTTATAATATGTCATTTTATTTCCTGAGGTGCATGTCTTCTTTGGTTTGCAGTTTCCTTAGCTCCTTACAGAGAGAGGTCAACCCTCCTGTTTAAGGAGCTCCATTGGCTGCCATTCATTTTCCGATCCCAATTCAAGGTGCAAGTGCTTACCTACAAAGCCCTAAACAGTTTGGGACCCGCCTACCTGCGTGATTGCATCTCCGTATATGAACCCACACAATCTCTCCGATCATCTGGAGAGGCCCTGCTCATGATCCCACCCATGACAAACAGAAAATATATATCAGTGATTGGGGGGGGGGGGGGCGCCAAAATACTGTTTGCTTACCGTTGAAAATTACCTAGGGCCGCCTCTGTCTGGGGCTGAGCTAGAACTAGTAGTTCTCAAAGGCTTGTTTAAACCACCAGGTCTTCAAGCTCTTACAAAAAGAAGGGAGGGATGGGACCTGTCTTATTTCTCTAGGTAGGGCATTCCAGAGGTAGGGAGCCACCACCGAGAAGGCCCTCTCTCTCGTCCCCACCAACCATGGTTGTGACGGTGGTGGGAGTGAGAGGAGGGCCTCCCCGGGAAATCTTAAAAGTTTGCACCGGTTCATAGACCTTGACATATGCAATCTCGATGCGATCTTGAAGATAGGCTGGGCCATTTAGGGCTTTATAGGTCATAACCTGTAGCTTGAATTTGGCTTGGCAACTTATTGGCAGCCAGTGAAGCTGTTTTAAAAGGGGCGTTGTATGCTCCCTATAATTTGCTTCCAACTCTTCAGATCTCTTAGTGCTTTGTTTGTTCGTTTTAGGATTCCCTGACCTTGTAATAAAGGAAGAGGGAGAGGAGCTCTGCAGCCACAGGTCGGAAGAATACCCAGGTATTGATCAGTCAGGTGAGAACGCCATGTATGGCTGGAGGTCCACAAGACTATTCGCAGGACCCTATTATGTCAGGAGCTTCCTAGTGACTGCTCCTAGGCCCTGGTGTCATCTATAGATTTGATAAGCAAGCAATTGATAAAAATATTGAACGGCATTAGACCCAGGACAGAATCCTGTGACATCCCACTGGTCACTTCTCCCCAGGATGAAGAGGAGCCATTGGTCAGCACCTTTTGGGTTCGGCCAGTCAGTCAATTTCTAATCCACCTGTCAGTAGCATTATCTAGCCCACCTTTTGCATTGTTTACTCCATTGCAAATCGACATAAAATGTCTTTGTTTCTCCAGCTTTCCTTTCCCATCCTTTCAGTCCCAATGCTGCTAAAAGGCTTTCAGCTAAGCAGAGGATGAAGGGGAAACCTGAGTCTGGGCAAGATTTTGGAAAAAGGACTTCACTGTCAGAGGCCTTGTTAACTATGATAGGCCTGTAGTTTGCTTGTTTGAATTTGCACATCACCTTGAGTGATACAGATAAAGGTGATGACAAGTTATTACTACGTTGGTTAATTTATTAAACTTCCGAGCCTCAGTATTATTCTCCCAGCCACTTTCCTTTTTCAAGCATTTAAAGTGTAGGGTTTTTTTGTATTTTCGAAGGCTTTCATGGCTGGATTCACTGGGTTGTTGTAGGTTTTTTGGGTTGTAAGGCCATGTTCCGGAAGCATTCTCTCCTGACGTTTCGCCTGCATCTGTGGCAAGCATCCTCAGAAGTTGTGAGGTTTTTTGTTTAGTTTTGTTTTGTCCATTATCTGAATCCAGTGGTAGTAAGTGGCTGTTTTTTTCAATTCAGGCTTTCCTGATGTTATCGTAAAGCAAGAGGAAGAAGAGAATTTGGGTGTTGTAAATCACCAGGGATCTGAAGAAAGTCCCACCATTGCTGCAGATCAATCAGGTGAGAGAGTGGTTCATATAACCGGTGAATTGTGTATTGTGGGCCTTGCATCTCAACAGGTTGAACATCTCTTATTTGGAATTCCAAAATATGCCAAAACTCAAAATTTTCCAAAACAGATGGCTGAGATAGTAACATCTTTTCTTTCTGGTGGTTCAATGTACACAAATTCATACACAAATTTTGTATAAAATTAGCTTCATGTGATGTGTATAAGATGTGTATGAAACTTAATTGAATTTCATGATTAGACTTTGGCCCCATCTACAGGATAACTCATTAGGTACATGTATGCAAATATAAATGTTCCAAAATCCAAATAAATAAATGAAACAAAATTTTAAAAATCTGAAATCCAATACTTCTGATCACAAGCATTTCAGACAAGGGATACTCAACAGAATAACCATTGACCCATGGATAAGTCGACCCAATTTTTGGCATGATTTTTTACTAAAATTTCTTGATTTATACATGTGTATAAATCATCATCATCATCATTTAATATTAATCGCCTTCCATCCGAGTATGCTCTAGGCGATTTACAGCTAAATTATAAAGGATAAAATACATACATACAAAAATTAAAAATTAACAGAGATCGAATGCTCTAGTAAAAAGCCAGGTCTTAAGTGCGAGGGTGAAAGGCCCTAAGTCACGCATGGCTCTCTAGTAGGGCGGCAAGGAATTCCACAAGGCAGGGGCAGAAATAGAAAAAGTCCTGCGCCTGGTCCTTTCCAAGTACACTTCTCTAGGACCCGGTATATGGAGTAAGTCACGTTGGGCTGGTCGTTGTGACCTCCGATGATGGGAGAAGGAGAGGCGGTCCCTAAGGTACGATGGACCCTGGCCGTAAAGAGTTTTAAAGGTCAGAACTAGCATCTTATACAGGCCACGGTACTCAGTTGGAAGCCAATGAGCAGTTTGAAAACATGAGTAAAACAATTTGCAAATGTGAGTAAATCAATAGGTACCGCTTCTGTGGGAAGGTAATGGCGCTCCATGCAGGCATGCTGGCCACATGACCTTGGAGGTGTCTACGAACAATGCCGGCTCTTTGGCTTAGAAATGGAGATGTGCACCACTCCCCAGAGTTAGACACGAGTAGACTTAATCTCAAGGGGAAACTTTTACCTTTACTTTATAAATAATGATGGAGCTACCAATGGTGCAGCTGGTTAAACCAAAAGGTCAGCGGTTTGAATCCTGGGAGTTGGGTGAGCTCCTTCTGCTAGCCCCAACTTCTGCCAACCTAGCAGTTCGAAAACATGCAAATGTGAGTAGATAAATAGGTACCGCTTTGGTGAGAAGGTACTAGCACTCCAGGCAGTCATGCCGGCCACATGACCTTGGAGACGTCTAATGACAACGGCGGCTCTTCCGCCAGGAAATGGAGATGAGCACCCCCCTCCCCCCCAGAGTCTGACACAACTAACTTAATGTCAGGGGGAAACCTTTATCTTTATAAATAATGACAAGAATGATGATGATAAACAATTGCTAAGATGACCTTGACCCTGGAAAATAGGCATGCATGCTTGAAGTACTCCAAGGGATTAAGTTTTATTTTGTTTTAAAAACAAATTAATAACTTTATCTGTCAGTAGCTTATATGAAAAGTCAGAATGCATGAGCATTTCATATGGTTATTTGAGGAGATGACCAATTACAGTGTCTCAAACTACGGAGATAACGGAAAATGGCTGTGCAATTCTAGACGGCATCCACAGAAGTACAATGTCCAAATCAAAGAAAGGAATAGTAAGACTTGGTATTTACTGTATTTAAGAACTTTCCTAGTTTATTCTGTCCCTTTTCTGTTCCCTGGGATGCCTTCTCTCACATGTTTGGGATTTAATGTTGTTCTTCTCTGCAGATAACTGGAAGAAAATGAATACATGTGCTCAGTGTTGGATGTCTTTTTCGCAAACGTTGGGTCTTGAAAACCACCAGCAAATCCTCATTGGCAAGGAAAGCCATACCAGGGAGGACACAAAGTGCATCATGTGTGGGAAAGATTTTGCACAAGAGGGGGCATTTTTGCTTCAAGAGAGTATCCACACAGGGAAAAAATACCGAAAATATGAAGCACTTTCTGGCAGTTCAGAGCTTGTGACCCCTCAGCGAATTCACCTCGGAGAGAAACCGTTCAAATGTCAGGATTGTGGAAAATCTTTTGCTTACAATTCACATCTTCTGATCCACGAACGAGTCCACACGGGAGAAAAACCGTACAAATGCATGGAGTGCGGGAAATGTTTTGCTAATGGCTCAACCCTGGTCAGCCACCAAAGAATCCACACCGGCGAGAGACCGTACAAATGCCGGGAGTGCGAGAAGTGTTTTTCTTGTAGTTCGCACCTTGTGATGCATCAGCGCATCCACACAGGGGAAAAACCATACCAGTGCCAGGAGTGTGGCAAGTGTTTCACTTGCCATTCGCACCTCGCGATGCACCAGACTGTCCACACGGGAGAGAAACCATACCAGTGCCAGGAATGTGGGAAATGTTTTGCTCGCAACTCGCAGCTCGCCAAGCACCAGACAGTTCACACAGGAGAAAAAGCATACAGATGTCAGGAGTGTGGGAAATGCTTTGCTCAGAATGCGCACCTGGTGGGCCATCAGCGAGTCCACACAGGTGAGAAACCCTATGAGTGCGAGGAATGCGGGAAATCCTTTGCTCGTAATTCACAGCTCATAAGGCATCAGAAAATCCACACAGGGGAGAAACCCTACCTGTGCCAGGAGTGTGGGAAATGCTTTTGTCAGAAGACAGAGCTGGTGAAGCATCAGAGGGTCCACACAGGGGAGAAACCATACAGGTGCCAGGAGTGTGGGAAGTGTTTCGCTCAGAGTTCGCCACTTGTGAAGCACCAGAGAGCCCACAGAGGAGAAAAAGCCTACAAGTGCCAGGAGTGCGGGAAATGCTTTGGTCAGAACATACACCTTGTGAACCACCGAAGAATCCACACTGGAGAGAAGCCCTACAAATGCCAGCAATGTGGGAAGTGCTTTGTTCAAAACGCACACCTTATGAGGCACCAGCGGGTGCACACTGGAGAGAAGCCATTTAAATTCCCGTGTTTCGATTACAGTTCGGACCTTGCAGACTTCCAGACAGGTTCAGACTTTGAGAACCTCCACAACGTCCAAATGGAAGACAATCCAAATGAAGCACCATCGAGCCCACATGGGAGAGAAATCATGCCGTTACCAAGTGTGTTGGAAATGTTTGGATCATGAGTTACAAGTCCAGAAAGGAAAAATAATAGAATGGGACCAGGAATGGGAAATGTTTTGTTCACATGTATGTTACAATCAACCAAGAGTCCAATCAGGGGAGGAAACTACAGAAATACCAGGATTATGGGAAATGTTTATTTGGAGACCTGATGTTGTGATCCACCCATGAGCCTCAAGAACATTTGTCTTTTTGGTGATTTAATTGGAAAAAAGATTTCTCTCAACCACCTGAAACTGGGAAGACTTGCTATAAGTGTGTTAGAAATGTTTTGATCGCACATCACAAAGGAGTCCAAGGTTGCATCTATATTGTAGAATGAATGAAGTTTGACACTCCTGTAACTGACATAGCTTAATGCTGTGAAATCCTGGGAATTATAGTTTGGCCACCCTTTGGTAGAGATTCTTTGGTAGAGATGGCTAAGACCTAGGCTGGAACTACACTGCCATATAATCCAGATTATCAGAACAGATAATGCAGATTATCTTCTTTGAAGTGGATAATATGAGTCTACACTGCCATATAATCCGGTTCAAAGGAGATAATCTGGATCTTATATGGCAGTGTAGACAGGGCCCTAGCCAAATGACGATCCCCAGGATTTCATAGCATGGAGCTGAGGCTGTCTAAGGGTTGTCAAACTGCATTCAGTGTAAATGCACTCCAAGAAGGAAAGATAATAGAACGTACCAGTAATGGGAGATATTTTGTCCATACATCCAGTGTTATGAGCTGCCAGAGAGTCCAACTGGGAGAGGAAACTATAGACATATCAATAATGTAGAACATGTTTGGAGATCTGGCCTTGTGATCACCTGAGAGTCCCAAGAACATGAACTGCCTTAATTGGAGAAAATGTTTTATACAGTATACTGTGAGAAAACTTGCGACAAATGTAAGGAACCTGGGGGAAGGTTTCTTGCAACTCAGTGATCAGGCAGTAATTTTCTATCCAGAGTAAAAAAAATAAGATTGCAATATGCTGTAAGTTGCACGAACATCAAGAGTAACACTATTAGTGTGAAAAATATTTTGGCTGCCAATCAGATTGGATAATCAACCAACATATCTTCTCAGGTCCAAAAATCTCACCTGGACTCTTGAGCTTGAGAGATGCTTTCTTGGTTTATAATATTTAAAAATCTCATTAGAAATAAATGCTTTGAATGTGTGGAATGTGTGGATAAATGATTTCATTGGGCAACACACATTTTGGTGCCTGATATGTTAGTCTTGTTTCTGGGTATATTTAATAATAATAATATCATCATCATCATCATCATCATCATCATCATCATCATCATCATCATCATCATCATCATCTTTATTTATACTCCACCATCATCTCCCTGAAGGGGACTCGGGGTGGCTAACACGARGCCAAGTCCAAAGCTACAATACAGCAAAATAAAGTGCTGATTCCAAAAATGGTACTAGTTTCCCCCTGTCAGTTCTAGTTTTTGAGATAAAGAACATATGCCATGTACCAGTTGTCATATGCTTGCCCATACAAAATTATGATAACCATATGTAAATACTAGAGCTGATGTGGTCTATCAAGTGCAAATTTCTGAATTAGCACCTGGAATAATCCTAGAATATTAAATCAAGATACCAAGAAGAATATATACAGGGTGAGGCAGCATAACTTCCTTTTTTAAAATGCGCGCCAATGGAGCACTAGTGGTCTYATTCGAGAGGCGGGAGTATAAAGTTTTGTCCTGACACAGTTCAGTCGCCATCATGCGTTGGAATAGTGAAGAGCGTGCTTTTGCCATTGAGGCCTAATTTTTGAGCGGATTTGGAGTGGCCGGCCAGCTCTCCAGATTTGGCCCCTTGTGATTTTTTTCCTATAGGGTTTTTTGAAATCCTGTGTTTATGTGGACCGTCCAAGGACCCTACAAGATTTGAAGACGAACATCCAGGAAGAAATTGCTACTCATGACAAACACCAGAAATCGGTTTACTCAGTGTATGGAGAATGGGGGACGTCACCTATCTAATTTGATCTTCAAAACTACGTAAAACAAAATTTAGGTATGCGCCTACATTATTAAAAAAATTTTCTGATTCATACAATGGGTTTTATTAAGTTTTGAAAAAAGGAAGTTATGCTGCCTCACCCTGTACTAGAGCTGATGTGGTCTATCTAGTGCAAATTTCTGAATCATTGCCCGGAATAATCCTAGAATTTGCCGAGCCAAATTCAAGGTGCAGGTTATGACCTATAAAGCCCTAAATGGTTCGGCCCCTGCCTATTTTCGCGATCGCATCTCCCTCTATGAACCAGTGTGAACTTTAAGATCTTTCAGGGAGGCCCTCCTTTTGCTCCCACAATCGTCACAAGCACGGTTGGTGGGGACGAGAGAGAGGGCCTTTTCGGTGGTGGTCCCCCGCCTCTGGAATGCCCTTCCTGGAGAAATAAGACAGGCCCCATCCCTCCCCTCCGTTCGTAAGAGCCTGAAGACCTGGTGGTTTAAACCTTTGAGAACGTCTAGTTCTAGCTCTGCCCCAGATACTGTTGAAATTGGCCATATCTTCTTCTACCAATTACCCAGGTCACTCTCTTCTGTCAGACCCTGGAAATGTACAGCCATAGACTCTACCTAATTTCCCGGGCCCTCTAAAATCGCAGTAGCCCGACCCAGCCTTTTAAACTGCCTTGATCAGGCAGGATTATTTTAAATATATGTGTTATTGTGGTTTTAATGCTTATATTGTCTTGTTAATTTTATGTTTATGCCATTTTTCTTGTATGTATTGATTATGTTACTTGGAAACCGCTCTGAGTCCCCTTGGGCAGATAGAGCAATATATAAATAAAGTTTTGTTGTTTGTTGTAGAATATCAAATCAAGACACCAAGAAGAATATGAAGCCGCCGGCCCCCCCCCCCCCCCCCCGGGGTGGCACAGTGGGTTAAACTGCTGAGCTGATGAGCTTGTTGACCAAAAGGTCACAGGTTCAAATCTGGGGAGTGGCGTGAGTTTCTGCTATCAGCATCAGCTTCTGCCAACGTAGCAGTTCGAAAACATGTAAATGTGAGTAGATGAATAGGTACCACTCTGGCAGGAAGATAACGGCGCTGCAACCAACACATAAATGTGTTGGTTGCGACACACACTTTGGAAAGTTTGGGAAGAACTAACATTACAGTAGATTTGGTCTGCAGTCGACCGACACCTACCTGTGTCTACACTGTTTAATGAATGCAGTCTGACCTCACTTGGAACTGCCTTCACTCAATGCTATGGAACCCTGGGATCTGTAGTTTGGCGAGGTCCCAGCATCTCTTTGGCAGAGCAGGCTGGAGATCTTGTAATAACTATGTAATTATGTATTGTAATAACTCGGCTATGGAATGCCCTACCAGCGGACATCAGGCAGGCCCCTTCGTTACTGGCGTTTCGGAGGAGGGTGAAGACGTGGCTCTTTGAACAGGCGTTCAGTTAATCATGCAATTACAACTAACTCAGGAAGACGGCATAATGAACAAGGAACGGTAAAACGACTGTGAGAACGGGATCTGATTCTATTTGAGGCGTTGATGACTATATGTGTGTCGTCTGTGTATGTCTGTTTTATATATTGTCAGTGTTGTATATTTTTACTGTAAACCGCATTGAGTCGCCGTAAGGCTGATAAATGCGGTATACAAAAGGAGTAAATAAATAAATAAATAAATAAATAAATAAACTAGAACTCCCAGGACCCCATATCATGGAGCTCTGGCAGTGAAAAGTGGTGTCAAACTGGGGGTCCTTCCACACAGCTGCCTAAAAATCCCAATTGAACCGGATTATATTAAAATCCCCATTGAACCGGATTATATGGCAGTGTGGACTCAGATAAGCCAGTTCAAAGCAGTTCAAATTACCTGCCTTGATATTCTGGGTGATATGGCTGTGTGGAAGGGCCCTGCATTACATCTTGAGTGCTGATACTGTAGGAATCCATAGGATGTAAGAAGCAGGAAGGAAACTTCACCAGACCAAAGGAATCAATGGGTGAGATCTTGCATCCTCTTTTCCCTTTGCTCATGTGACTCAGCTGTGGAACATTGCGCGGCTTCGATCACGTGATAAGAAGTGGGGGAAGGAAATGGGCGGGGCGAAATGAACTCCGGGCGCCCCTATTGGGCGGAACGAAAGACAATATGCAAAATAAATCTCCAGGCTTCCCTATTGGACGGAAGGGAAGGGAATATGCAAAATGAACCTCCGGGCGCCCCTATTGGGCGGAACGAAAGACAATATGCAAAATAAGCCCCCGAGTGCCCCTATTGGGCGGAAGGGAAGACAATATGCAAAATAAACCTCTGAGCGCTCCTATTGGGCGGAACGAAAGACAATATGCAAAACAAACCCCCGGGGTTCCCTATTGGGCGGAAGGGAGGATGGGCCGGGCTTCCCTATTGGACAGCAGTGGAGAGGCAGTGAAAGAAGGAGGAGGAATTAAAGGGACAGGGGGCGTTTATTGAGGCCTGCATTTATTTGAAGGGAAGCTGGTCCTGAACACGGGTCTCCAGGTAACCCAGGGAATGCTCGTGTGAAGCCAAGGGAGGAAAAGGGCCAGCATCCTTAAAAGGCAGGGTTGGATGTGGGATATTATGTTGGGAGGAGGAGGAGATGGATGGATGGATGGATGGATGAAGGCCTCAGGATGAGAGGAGGAAGGTGGCAGTAATAACTGTAATGATAAAATGGTACTACTACTACTACAACTAATAATAATAATAATAATAATGTCATTCCCCACCTTGATCTGCAGAAAGAGGCAGGTAAATAATAGCAATAATAATAATAATAATAATAATAATAAGTCATTCCCCTCCTTGATCTGCAGAAAGAGGCAGGTAAATAATAGCAATAATAATAATAATAATAATATGTCATTCCCCTCCTTGATCTGCAGAAAGAGGCAGGTAAATAATAGCAATAATAATAATAATAATAATAATAATAATAATAAGTCATTCCCCTCCTTGATCTGCAGAAAGAGGCAGGCAAATAATAGCAATAATAATAATAATAATAATAATAATAATAATAAGTCATTCCCCACCTTGATCTGCAGAAAAAGGCAGGTAAATATTAGTAATAATAATAATAGTAATAATATGTCATTCCCCACCGTGATCTGCAGAAAGARGCAGGTAAATAATAGCAATAATAATAATAATATGTTGTTTCCCACCTTGATCTGCAGGWAGAGGCAGGTAAATAATAGCAATAATAATAATAATAATAATAATAATAATAATAATATGTCATTACCCACCTTGATCTGCAGAAAGAAGCAGGTAAATATTAGTAATAATAATAATAGTAATAATATGTCATTCCCCACCGTGATCTGCAGAAAGAGGCAGGTAAATAATAGCAATAATAATAATAATATGTTGTTTCCCACCTTGATCTGCAGGAAGAGGCAGGTAAATAATAGCAATAATAATAATAATAATAATAATAATAATAATAAGTCATTACCCACCTTGATCTGCAGAAAGAGGCAGGTAAATATTAGCAATAATAATAATAATAATAATAATAATAATAATAATAATAACAATATGTCATTCCCCACCTTGAGCTGCAGAAAGAGGCAGGTAAATAATAATAATAATAATAATAATAAGTCATTCCCCACCTTGATCTGCAGAAAGAGGCAGGCAAATAATAGCAATAATAATTATAATATGTCATTCCCCACCTTGATCTGCAGGAAGAGGCAGGTAAATAATAATAATAATAATAATAATAATAATAATAAGTTATTTCCCTCCTTGATCTGCAGAAAGAGGCAGGTAAATAATAGCAATAGCAATAATAATAATAATAATAATAATAATAATAATAATAAGAAGAAGAAGAAGAAGAAGAAGAAGAAGTCATTCCCCACCTTGATCTGCAGAAAAGAAAAAAATAACATATAAATATTTTTGGGGGGTGGGGAGGAAGACAAGGCTTTTTACAGATTCAAATTGTATTCTAGCAGAGAATCAAAGTCTCCCTCTTGATGACTGTGTCTTGCACTCTCACCCAAATCAAGGGTTCCAGATATGATGGAAGAAAAGAAGCGGAAAGTCCAGAATTCTCCAGAAGACTGCTCAGGTGCAGGATGAATTCATAAAATAATTATGATTGTAGAGAAACTTACTCACTGAGCCCTTCCCTCCACTTACCCATGGTTTTTCATTTCCTTTTCCCCATCAAGCAATATTTCACTGACCATGTTTAGTTCTCATTGGCGTGTTTGGGAAATTGTCTCTTACGGTGGTTTTTTCTTTTTCATATAAAGGTGTTCATACTTGAATGCACTGTGAAGTATACATTTCATATATTACTTTTGTGTGTAGATCATGCTATTTTGATTACAGGAGGAACAGCCCCCACAGCTGGAACATTAGAAATAAAAGCAAACTTAGAGAATTTATTCAGGAGCCATGCACACGTGTTTGTTGCATTCACACTTTGTACAGAACACTCCTGCTCACATTTATGTGAAAGAAACCATAGGGGTTGAACTCAGTTTGACTCCTATGATAAATACAGTGCTTCCCAACCAGTGGTTTGTGGACCACCAGTGGTCCAGAAGAAAAAAAATATGGTCTGCGGCCTCACCGTTACCACACCTCGAAACCATGTGGCAATGAGAGTGAGTGGTCTCGCGAAACCCTCGTATAGTGCTGAGGCAATGGGCATGTCGGGAGGGGAGAAGCTGACTATCCATGAAAGTTTACTACTACCACTTCAGCTCTAGATGATTAAATATGGTTTTCTGTGAGCGAGCAGATGGCATGTGTTCTGTATCAGAAACTAGATCTGATGTGGTCTATCCAATGTAATTTTCTGAATCAGTACCCCAAATAACCAAACCAAATCTAAAGTTGGACAAAAACAGATTTGTAACCCTTTTGGTACTGAAGTTGGAGAGTTGTCCCTGATCAATAAAAGGTTGAGAACCACTGGATAAACAAAAGAACCAAGCTAGTTTGGAAAATGTACTGATAAATGGGAATCCTCTGGAGACGATACGGAAAACATCTGGTTTCATCACCATTTTCAGTCTTTGCATCATGTATTTGTGTTTTCTGGAAGAGTAGAAATAGTTATGGATATTAAATAATCTGAAAAAAAGAATGATGACACTATGAAACACAATTTTTGTTGCCGGGTTATAAATACCATTTCCTGGAAACAAATAATGAAAATATGGAAATATGTATTAACCTGCAAAAACATTGTTGCGGCCTGCACATTGAAAGGTTAAAGATGGCATGTTGTCATCAAGGAAAATTACAACTGAAGTACCTAGACTGAAGGAAATAATAGTACTTCCCTCAGCTACAAATAATAATAATAATAATAATAATAATAATAATAATAATAATAACAACAACAACAACAACAATACCACAAATACCATCTGCCTGCGACAAAGAACTGGTGAGATCACAAGCCAGAAAAAGTTACAGAGAATTAACACACCAAACTCCTCTGGGACTTTCGGATTCAGACAGACAAAGTTTTGGAGCATAATATTCCTGACCTCACGATTGTGTTAAAAAACAAAGTATGGATCGTCGATGTCACAATCCCAGGTGACAGCAGGATTGCAGAGAAACAACTGGAAAAGCTGACACGATATGAGGATTTAAAAATCGAACTGCAAAGACTCTGGCACAAAGACCTTGGCCTGCACTTAAACACAATCGACACTGACAAAATTACCATCTGCCATCTGCAGAAGGCCACTTTACTGGGATCTGCACGCATTATATCACACAGTCCTAGACACTTGGGAAGTGTCCCATGTGTGATCCAATTCAACAGCCAGCAGAGTGTCTGCTGTGGACTCATCTTGTGTTTCAAATAATAATAATAATAATAATAATAATAATAATAATAATAATAATAATAATAATAATAATAATTTTATACCTCACCCCCATCTCCCATAGGGACTCAGGGCGACTTACAAAATATGCCATACATACAATACATAATACATAAAATAAAATACATCAACATGCAAACAGTAATACATTACATAAACCAGGTATATAAATTGAATAAAATGACCTCTATTAAAAATAGAATCCGTTAAAAGATCCACGTAATTAATATAGCAGCCCAGCTGAATGCACCGAATGTAGATATAAAGTGCTAAGTGATTGGCAATCGGTTCTGGTTACGGTTACTGTATAGGTCAACAGCAAGCTAGACTATTAATGGTTGGGAGCTCACTCTGACCTGGGCTGGCTTCAAACTCATGATCTCTCAGTCAGTAGTGATTTAATGTAGCTGGCTACTAACTCACTGCGCCACAGCCTGGAATCCAGCACATGTCTACCATTGGCCACTTGCAGGTGGAATAACCTTTTGGGCATTATCTTCTGACAGCCTTTCTCTTGATTAGGACGTCACGGCCTGAAGCGAGTGATGAAAGAAGAAGAGGAGCCTTTGGAACTGATTCATCAGGTTTCAGAGATAAATGATCCCTCTCCAACTGACCATTCAGGTGAAAGAGCTATTAGGATTTGATTTTCAGATTTCTTTAAGGTTCTTGAGGATTTCAGATGGATAATTGGGTTGGGAGGGTTTGCCAGTTTGTTATCTTTATAACAACCACAAGGTGGCTTCTGATAACATAGAAAAACACAGTAATTAACACGAGGAGCAGTACAAAACTACAAGCAATTTTGTCTGAAACTGCAAATAATTACTTTGTTGAGTTTAACAGAAACCATGTGGTTTGATCAGTTAAGCAGAGTAAAAGAGTTCAAATACTTTTTTAAAGGAAAAATAATCAGATCTTGAAAGATCCCATTGCCATAGCTCTGATAAAAGTGATGGGGAAGCCATCTTTCATCACCAAATACTGGAATCGTCACTGAAAACAGCTATTGGCTACTACTGCTTTCTTTCTCAAACTATTTCCTTTTGTGGCAGTGAAAATAGAAGAAGGTGAAGCAGAGGTCCATCCATCTCAGGAGATCAGGACAGTTGAAGCTTCCTGCCCTGGTGAGAAAGGGTATATTTGATACATTTTGTATTCCTGCACCCAAAGTTCTTACATTCTGTACTGTATTGCATTCCATATAAACAATTACATGTCCATATATATATAGACATGAACTTCTATAGCAAAACACTGCATAGTAGATTGCTTTTGTCTATTAGCCATATGCTTTTGCCATTTCCCTTCCATCCAGTTATAGACCAATATGGATTTGTAATTAATGTTTGGATGTCTCCATTGTTTATTAGCAGAGTGTGCAAATGGTGTGGTTTTAGCCAGTTCAGAATTTGTACTCACAGAATGGATTTGCTATTAAAGTTTGGATGTCTTCATTTGTTTATTTGCAGAGCGAAATCTTGCTGATGCGTCACTCTCAACACCAGAAAGTTTCCAGGTGAATTCTGTCGAAGCACTTCAGCAGACTCCTTTCTGGAGGCGGTCTTTAGCTGACCAGTTGCAAGTCATAGAGATGGGACCGGAGAGGCCTCCTCTGATGCTGCAGCAATCTGGTTGCGACAGAGGGAAAGAGTACACCCGGAGGTTCAGCGCAAAGTGGTACGACAGAAAGGAGTGGCTGTGTGGAAGTGCCGCAAAAGATGCGCTCTTCTGCTTTCCTTGTTTGCTCTCAGTGGGCGGCACGACGTGGACTCAGACCGGAGTCAGGGACTTAAAGCATCTGGCCGACAAGATCAAGAAGCACGAAGAATCCAAGAGCCACATGGACAATTGTGTGAAGCTTGCCAAGTTAAGTAAAAACAGTGTGGTGCAGCTTGGTGAAGACGACCTTGCATCTATTAAAAAGCACAACCAAGAAGTTGAAAACAATAGATACAAAATTTGGGTCGTTGTTGAAAGCATATCAAATATCATTGATAGCATTCCATTCTGCGATGCTTTTGAACTGGGGCTTTCCGATCAGGATGAGACGGAGGATTCAATGAACTTGGACATGTTTGGGGGGCAGCTGAATCCTGTGGCACCCATCGACTTGGTCATGGAACTTCACATGCAGAATTCCTCTGTGTTGAGAGATCTGTCAAAGACAACTCAGAATGAAGTACTTGACTGTATGTCAAAAGTGGTAAAGGATTATATTAAACAGCAGGTGAAAAGTGCTCATTTTGTGGCCATGGAAGTAGCTCACATAAGTGTCTCCAGCCACTCCCAAATGGCACTGACCTTCCGATACATCAATGAACACAGTTCATTGGTGGAATGCTTTTATGCTGTCGCTGAACTGGAAGACCATCGGGCTGAAAACATGGCTGCCTTTTTGCTCCAGCAGCTGGAAGATGTGTTTCCAGAAGCAAAAGAGAAGCAGAAACTTATTGCCCAGAGCTATGATGGGTTAAGCATGGCGCACGGTGACCATATAAGAGTGCAGAATAAGATTCAGGAAGTATTCCCTCATGCCCAGTATGTTCACTCCAGTGCCCATCAACTCAACGTGGTGATGCAACAAGTCGCATCTCAAATCCAGGAAGTGGGAAGTTTCTTTGCGAATCTTTCCAAGATCCCAGAGTTCTTTGCATCCGATGCAAAAGCAAAGGAGGTTTTGGAGACTATTCTAGGACTCCAACATTCCAGATCAACTCAAACCAACTGGAACCTTAACATCCAAACAGCAAATTACGTGTTTGAAAAGAGGCTGGAACTCATTGAATGCTTTCTTGAAATCAAAAGGACTTGGAAGTCCGACGACCCTGCAGTCCAGATGGCTGACCAGATCCTCCAGTTGCTGGAAAAAGATGGCGAGTTCCTCTACTTTTTGTCCCTGTTCCACAGGATAATGCCTCAAGTGGATGCCTTCCGCAGGCAGCTCTGGGTTTCAGGGATGGGCCCTGTAGCGGTCAAAAAAGCTGCCTCAAACTTTGTGAGCACAATTGGTTCTGTCGGTGATTCCATTGGAAGCTTGTTCTCCAAGTTGCCTTCAGAATCCGTGCTGCCCAAAGGCAAAACAAAGGAAACCCTGGACCAAATGGCATCAGAAGCCTGCAATGTTATCATCGCACATGCCAAAGAACGTTTTGCATTCACCACTCACCTACTGGGTGCAACACTAGTCCAGGGGACTTTGTTTTGGGCACACAATAGGACATTTCCACAGGCGGCTTTGGATCAAACGGTTGAGGCCTACCCAATGCTGGAGAAAGAGAGACTAAAGACGGAGCTTGGCGTCTTGTACAAAATGAAAGAACTCTATAGCTGCACAAGCCTTTCAACACTTTTGTGTGTGCTCATAGACACACCCTTAGAGCAAACACGGACATTGCTGAGGATCGCCATCACCACCCCCAAAATGGTGGTAGAAGCAGAACAGACGCCGTCAGCGCTGAAGAGGGTCAAGGCTCTCCTGCGCAACACGGCATCTCAGGACAGACTCAGTGCTTTGGCCACCCTGTTCATTGAAAAAGAGAAGATCAAAAACATCCCGGACTTCAATAACAAAACAATCGAACTGTTTGCTAGGCAGGGAGAACACCATGCAGACTACATGTACAAATAAGGAGCAGGGTTGATTTTCCAGAAACTGCTTTTCAGAATTGAGGCTGTTAAGCAAATAAATATGCTGATAAACTGCCTTTCAGAGGGATGAGAGTCAAACTCCAGACAGGAATGAGTGGTCGGGATTGGGTTACAAGTTCTGGAGATTTTTACTTCCAGTTGTCAAGTCATCATAGTTCAGCTTTTCTGGGCTAATGTTTTAGAGTACAGTGGGCCCTTGTTATCAATTGGGATTTGATTCTAGGGACCCTTCCACACAGCCATATAATCCAGAATATCGAGGCAGAAAATCCCACAATATCTGCTTTGAACTGGGTTATCTGAGTCCACACTGCTATATATTCTAGTTCAAGTCAGATATTGTGGGATTTCCTGCCTTGATATTCTGAGTTATATGGCTGTGTGGAAGGGCCCTTAGGGATCTAGCAATCTCACGTCAAAATGTTCTGTGTCATATGCTGGGTCTGAAGATATTTTGAGGTCAGGATTATGTTTCAATAGATCAGAGATCATCACATTACACTGTGAAAGAATTGCTATTCCACCCAAAATAATCCATGAAAAATGAAGACTTGGGGTCCTTCCACACAGCCGTATAACCCAGAATATCAAGGCAGAAAATCCCACAATATCTGCTTTGAACTGGGTTATCGGAGTCCACACTGCCATATATTCCAGTTCAAAGCAGGCAATATGGGATTTTATTCAGATGTGTGGAAAGGGCCTTGGACTGACACACACGCACAGAGACCTTTAAATAAAAGGGGATTTTTGGGGAGGGGGGCATTTTAAATGTGGATAATTGAGTCTGTGGATGAGAAGGGCTGACGACACAGCTCCCATAAACCCATTCTCCCAAGTTGGCTTGGGAAAGCTGATGTAGTTTCTGAATGCTTTTATCTGTAGTCATAATTGGTGAGAGGCCATATCTCATGCTCCTTCATCTCTTGAGAGTGAGCACTCTGGGAACCCCAGTCAGGAAGCAAGCGTGGTATCTTTAGCATATCCCAACCCTCATCCGCATAGCAGTAACAGTGACCTCTGGCAAAACACAGACATTATCACAGGTTTCTACTTCTGATCAGTCTCCATTTTATTGCCATTCATTTTAAAAAATAGAATGGAAAGTATGTGAAAATATAGTTGGAACAACAAGTAAGGTGCTATGTACATTGGCCCTCTTTGCCATTTTGAATATAGTAGAAAGACGGCTTAACAAATAGACTGATTACTGCAATTGGAGATTTATCAGGGTGAATTTACAGACTTGTTATAATATTCTCATATGAGCAAGTTGCATGTGTTTTTGTCCTTGAAAATAATAAAAATAAAATGATTTTTAAAACCAAGTTGTGAAATAGACTTTTTTGGAAAATTGCATTTGTAGTACTGTCAGTCCTCTACATTTGTGGGTTTATCTTTTGCAGATTTGATTATTATTGTTGCCCTAGAAATCTCTGTGTTCAAGTGCAGCAACATCCAGCAAAAGTTTACCATGGAGGATCTAGAGCAGCGGTTCTCAACCTGTGGGTCGCGACCCCCCTATGGGTTGATTGACTAGTTGAGAGGGGCCGCGTTGCCCTGCCCCCTCCACCTCCCCAGAATGGCTGCTGTGGGGCCTAGTCCCCCAGCGCTTGCTGCCTGCCAGGCTCGGTGGAGGTGTGAACCAAGCGAGAGGCTCTGCCTCTAAGCCTAGACCTTGCGCCAGGGCCTACATTGGCCGGCTCTTGCTGTCTGCCAAACCCGGTGGAGGTGTGAGCTAGGCAAGACAATCAGCACTAGGCCTAGGCCAGCCTATGTCACCTGGCTCTCACCACCTGCCAGGTCCAGCAGAGGTGTGAGCTGGGTGAGAGGCTCTGCGCCAGGATTAGGCTCTGCCATGGGACCTATGTTGCCTGGCTCTCACTACCTCCCTGGCCTGGTGGAAGCGTGCAATGGGTGAGATGCTCCTCCCCAGGCCTGAGTCCTGCCATGGGGCCTAAGTCTCCCGATTCTCACCACCTGCTGGGCTCCCTGCCGGGTCTGAGACTTGGCTTTGCTACAGGTCCCCGGCACCTGGTTCTCGCCGCTTGCCAGGTAGGTGCCAAGTTGGTTATGGGAGTTCTATATGCCAAGTTTGGTTGGATTCCATTGTTGATTCAGTTCAGAATGCTCTTTGATTGCAGTTACAACTGCAACTCCCAAATGTCTGGGTCTGTTTTCCCCAAACCTCTCCAGTGTTTTCTGTTGGTCATGGGAGTTCTGTATGCCAAGTTTGGTCCCGGTCTGTAATTTGTGGGTGTTTCTGTGGAAGTCAGAGCTAAATCGGTCGAAGGTTCTGCAAATCCCATTATCGATTGTCCATACTTCCCCAAACATATTGTTTTTGTGATTAATCACTATGCTTTAATTATATTCCTTTTGTAACAATGATTAATTATGTTCTGATTGTAATTTATTTATTTATTTACTGTACTTGTATACCGCCTTTCTCAGCCAATCGGCGACTCAAGGCAGTTTCCAACAAATCAGTATGCATAAAATCATAATACAGATTAAAACATTAAAACAGTAATAAAACACAAGAGCAATAAAACAATATAAGCATCTCCTTATTATCAAGCATTGTCCAGTTCATCATCAAGTCATTCGATTTCCTATATATTAGCTACTCTGCATTTGTAAATGCTTGATCAAACAGCCATATTTTAACTTGCCTCAGAAACGTTAAGAAGGAGGGAGCTGATCTAATCTCCTTAGGAAGGGTGTTCCATAGCTGAGGGGCCACCACTGAGAAGGCCCTTTCTCTCGTCCCCACCAAAAGGCGGGACTAAGAGCAGAGCCTCCCTAGACAATCTTAAAGTCCTTGATGATTCGTAAGGGGAGATACATTCGTACAGGTAACTTGGGTCAGAACCGTTTAGGACTTTATAGGCCAAAGTCAGCACTTTGAATTGGGCCCGGTAGTATACCGGCAGCCAGTGGAACTGGCACAACAGGGGGCTTGTATGCTCCCTGAGAGCCACTCCTGTTAACAACTTGACTGCCGTTCATTGGACTAGTTGAAGCTTCCGGACCGTCTTCAAAGGCAACCCCACGTAGAGAGTATTGCAGTAGTCTATATGGGATTTAACCAGAGCGTGGACCACCGTGGCCAAGTCAGACTTCCCAAGGAACGGATGCAGCTGGTGCACAAGTTTTAACTGTGCAAATGCTCCCCTGATCACCGCCGAAACTTGGGGTTCCAGGCTCAGTGATAAGTCCAAGATCACACCCAGACTGCGAGCCTGCGTCTTCAGGGGGAGTGTAACCCCATCCAACACAGGCTGTAACCCTATGCCCTGTTCGGCCTTGTGACTGACCAGGAGTACCTCTGTCTTGTCTGGATTCAGTTTCAATTTGTTTGCCCTCATCCAGATCGTCACAGCAGCCAAGCACCGGTTCAGGACCTGAACAGCCTCCTTAGTAGCAGGTGGGAAGGAGTGATAGAGTTGGACATCATCTGCGTACAGATGACACCGCACCCCAAAACTCTGGATGATCTCCCCCAGCGGCTTCATGTATATGTTAAACAGCATGGGGGGCAGTATTGAACCCTGAGGAACCCCATGAGACAACGGTTGTGAGGTTGAACAGGTGTTCCCCAGTAACATCATCTGAGTGCAACCTTCCAGAAAGGACTGGAGTCACTGCAGAGCAGAGTCTCCCAGGCCAATTCCGGCGAGGCGTTCCAGAAGGATACCGTAGTCAACGGTGTCGAAGGCCGCTGAGAGGTCCAGCAGAACCAACAGGGACACACTCCCCCTGTCGAGCTCCCGGCGTAGATCATCAATTAAGGCAACCAAGGCTATTTTGGTTCCATGTCCCAGTCTAAAGCCAGACTGTGCCGGATAACAATGCAAACACATCCTGTGTATCAAATATTTACATTACGATTCATAACAGTAGCAAAATTACAGTTATGAAGTAGCAAGGAAAATAATTTTATGGTTGGGGTCACCACATTTATTTAATTTAGGGGTCATGGCATTAGAAAGGTTGAGAACCATTGGGTTAAACCCTTGTGCAGGCTGAACTGCTGACCTAAAGGTTGGATTGCAGACCTGAAGGCTGCCAGTTTGAATCCACGAGAAGGGTTGAGCTCTGTCTGTCAGCTCTAGCTTGCATGGCATGAAGAAAAACTTCCAGCAGAATGGTAAGACATCTGGGTGTCCCCTGGGCAACGTCTCTGTAGACTGCCAGTTCTCTCACACCAGAAGCAACTTGCAGTATGTTCTCAAGTCGCTTCTGACACAATAAAAAAACTCAAAATAATCCATGAAAACTGAAGACTTGGGGTCCTTCCACACAGCCATATAACCCAGAATATCAAGGCAGGAAATCCAACAATATCTACTTTGAACTGGGTTGTCTGAGTCCACACTGCCATATATTCCAGTTCAAGTCAGATATTGTGGGATTTCCTGCCTTGATATTCTGAGTCATATGGCTGTGTGGAAGAGCCCTTAGGGATCTAGCAATCCCACGTCAAAATGTTCTGTGTCATATGCTGGGTCTGAAGATATTTTGAGGTCAGGATTATGTTTCAATAGATCAGAGATCATCACATTACACTGTGAAAGAATTGCTATCTTGTGGATGCATCCTGCCAGGGCCGGCCCGTCCATTACTCGAAGTAAGCGGTCGCGGAATACTTTTTTTGCCAGGGGGCGCTGTTTTGTCCTTAGGCCACGCCTCCTCCTGCAGGCCCCATGCGCCCTCAACAGCCTTCTAATGGAGAAGCGCAGGCCCCGCCCACTAGGCGAGAGGGAAGTCCTCCCTCCACGTGCTGCCAGGAGCCAGCCAGCCAGGCTCTTTCGCTTTCCCTTTCCTTCCCTGCAGCTGAGCCTGGACCCCTCTCAGGGCAGCAAGGAGGCCTGGTCAAAAGGTACTGCAAATGTCATCTTTTGTACATGCCTCCCCCAAACCCCTCTAGTATTTGGTAGTCATGGAAGTCCTGTATGCCAAGTTTGGTTCAATTCTATTGTTGGTGGAGCTCAGAATGTTCTTTGGTGCTTGGTAAACTGCAATTCCCAAATGCAGGGTCTATTTTTCCCAACCCCCTCTCCAGTATTTTCTGTTAGTCATGGAAGTCCTGTATGCCAAGTTTGGTTCAATTCTATTGTTGGTGGAGCTCAGAATGTTCTTTGGTGCTTGGTAAACTGCAATTCCCAAATGTCAGGGTCTATTTTTCCCAACCCCCCCTCCAGTATTTTCTGTTAGTCATGGAAGTCCTGTATGCCAAGTTTGGTTCAATTCTATTGTTGGTGGAGCTCAGAATGTTCTTTGGTGCTTGGTAAACTGCAATTCCCAAATGTCAGGGTCTATTTTTCCCAACCCCCTCTCCAGTATTTTCTGTTAGTCATGGAAGTCCTGTATGCAAGTTTGGTTCAATTCTATTGTTGGTGGAGCTCAGAATGTTCTTTGGTGCTTGGTAAACTGCAATTCCCAAATGTCAGGGTCTATTTTTCCCAACCCCCTCTCCAGTATTTTCTGTTAGTCATGGAAGTCCTGTATGCCAAGTTTGGTTCAATTCTATTGTTGGTGGAGCTCAGACTGTTCTTTGGTGCTTGGTAAACTGCAATTCCCAAATGTCAGGGTCTATTTTTCCCAACCCCCTCTCCAGTATTTTCTGTTAGTCATGGAAGTCCTGTATGCCAAGTTTGGTTCAATTCTATTGTTGGTGGAGCTCAGAATGTTCTTTGGTGCTTGGTAAACTGCAATTCCCAAATGTCAGGGTCTATTTTTCCCAACCCCCTCTCCAGTATTTTCTGTTAGTCATGGAAGTCCTGTATGCCAAGTTTGGTTCAATTCTATTGTTGGTGGAGCTCAGAATGTTCTTTGGTGCTTGGTAAACTGCAATTCCCAAATGTTAGGGTCTATTTTTCCCAACCCCCTCTCCAGTATTTTCTGTTAGTCATGGAAGTCCTGTATGCCAAGTTTGGTTCAATTCTATTGTTGGTGGAGCTCAGAATGTTCTTTGGTGCTTGGTAAACTGCAATTCCCAAATGTCAGGGTCTATTTTTCCCAACCCCCTCTTCAGTATTTTCTGTTAGTCATGGAAGTCCTGTATGCCAAGTTTGGTTCAATTCTATTGTTGGTGGAGCTCAGAATGTTCTTTGGTGCTTGGTAAACTGCAATTCCCAAATGTCAGGGTCTATTTTTCCCAACCCCCTCTCCAGTATTTTCTGTTAGTCATGGAAGTCCTGTATGCCAAGTTTGGTTCAATTCTATTGTTGGTGGAGCTCAGAATGTTCTTTGGTGCTTGGTAAACTGCAATTCCCAAATGTCAGGGTCTATTTTTCCCAACCCCCTCTCCAGTATTTT